TTGCATTTAGTGGGCGTGTCTCTTTAATCTCCTTTAATATAGAACATTTCCAACTTTCCCTTTGTTGGCATCAGTCTCTTCTTCCGAAAAAAGAGGGCATCAGACATACGTGGGTTTGGATCCTGGCTTTACCGCTTGGGAGCTGAGCGAGCCCTGGCAAACTACGTCACCTCCCTGAATCCCAGTCTTCTCATGTGCTGGGTGGGGTTAGTGATAAAACACAGGGGAAGTCATGAAATCAGGCATGATCCGAAGGCATCCCGGCAAGGTGTCTGGAACCTGGTAAGTGATCGCTGCATTTGATTAATGTAATTAATGTAATATCATTAGTTCTGGCTCTGCCACTTACTTGATGTAGGACCTTGAGAAAATTGCTTTGCCTCTCAGAGACCCACTGTCCTTGGTTATAAAAGTGGGGCTTTTAATACCTTTCTCTTTTTACTGAAGGAGATGGCACAGGTAAATTGCCCAGCTCAAAGCTGGTGCATGGAAATGTCCCGTCAACACTAGTTCCCTTTTCATCTTCCAAATGCTGACTAGCCTCTGATCAATAAACCTCCATGTCCCCCATCAGGACGACTTTTATGCAGAATTCTCAACAGGAAACTACAGGCTGTGGACGTTAACTCCGGGGCCAACCCCTAGCAGCAGGCGCTGTCCCACGAGAAGCACTGAATACCCGGGGACGGGAGCTCTTTAAAGGACAAACTGGAAACTTCATCCTCCCCATGGATGTTTTCACCAGGCGTATTTTGGAATAATCTTTGTTGGTGAAACAAACTGCCACCATGGGTGTGGTGGGTGTGGCGGAGGTTTGGGGCGAGGGGCAGTGGTGCTCCCAGGGTGGCTGTGATTCACTGTTGATTGAAATTAGACTCTGGGATCCAGGTGACCTTCATGTCATCATGGAAACTCTGATGCGAGCAACTTCCCCAAACAGAGCTCTCCAGGGCTCAGCGTGCCCCCCCCGCCCCCCCACCCCCGCCTGCCCGCCTCCGTCCTGGAATGTGTCGCCAGGTCTTCCCAGGGGCAGATGAGCTCTGTGTTTCCTCCCCAGGGGAGTCTTTTCTGCACCCAGTGTTGACCACTGTCCATCATGCCCTTGTTCTGTTGTCTTCTTAGCTTGGGGCAGCTGGTCTGGCCGGTCTGTCGACCTGATTCTTGTCTGTGTCCCCCGCTCTCTGTGAGCCCCAGGTGCCGGGGAGTGAGTCCTCTTTTGCTCTGATCACTCTGCAATGAGGGAGCTCACTGTGCCTTAGGACCTGACACGACCTTGAGGGCACATAGTGGGATCTCGAGAGCGGTTCTGCGGAGGAGGGATGGGACCGAGTTGGAGGGTTCTGGCATTTGATCCGGGGAGCAGGAGGACCAGCTTCCTCTCTGGGGTGGGGCTTCCTCTTTGCCTTCTTTGATTGCAGCCAGTGTCGTGGCCCCTCCAGTGGGTGCAGAAACCCTGGGCATTGCCAAGGGCTCCTTTCTGAGCCATCTTTTCAAACACAGGGGACATTCCCTATCTTAATGAGCTGCAAGCAAAAAATAGGAATTTGTGGATGCAAAATGAGCTTACTGATTTGATTGCTGAAACTCATGAAACTTACCCAATGACGTGCCCTGTGGTAGTCCGACTATGACCCCTTCAAGTTCTAGTTTTATACTTCACAGCATTTGAAATCAAGGCTTGGGGTTGAATCCTGGTTAAGCTGCATGATATCTGTGTGACTTGGGCAAATGCTTTTTCCTCTCCTGAGCATCCGTGAAGGGGGAATGACAATACCTACCAAATCTGTGAGGACTGAGTGACACAGCCCTGGCAGAGCACCCAGCACAAGCCTCAGAGGGCTTCCCTGGTGTGTTCCTGGGCAGGGAAGGAGAGGACTCGGGGTTGAGGCCTCTGGAGCCAGGCAGATCTGAGCTTGTGTCCCCATTCTCCCTCCCACAAGCTGGGTGACAACCACGGATAATCACCTCTCTCAAGTCTCTGTTTTCTCACCTGTAAACTGGCTATAATAACATCTGGATATGTCCTAGGGAAATAGTGGGGGAATCAAGTGGAATATAATTTTTAGATAAAATGCCAGTCAAGTAATTATTGCTGTCCAAAGCCTTTTAAAGTTTAGATCCTGCCCTCTTAGACAGACATGGAACAATTGCTGAGACCAGGTCTGATAGGACACCAAGCCCCTAAATAAAAGAACAGATTCATGATTCAATCAAATCCGCAAGAACAATTGGTCTCAGGAGCTGTCAGCATCCTGTGCAACACAAGGGCTGGCAGGATGACCTTTAGCATCTGTAGTGCTGTAGGGCCACGTCCCAGACAGAAGTTGGGTGTCGCCTTCCACCTCTGCTCTGCTGAGCCTTCCTTTACAACCACCCTTGGCCCAAAGCAGCACGGACCGCCTGCTCAATCAGCCTCCACCATGTCTCCATTCAGGTCCTCCGAGAGCCACGTTGGTGGCCGCTCCAACACCCAGCCCTGCGATGTGCTACCCGAGGGCCTGTCCCTCGGAACACATCTGCATTGTTTGGTTTGTTTGTGGACAGAGATCGGTGGGTGGCCTGTGGCTCAGGGAGGAAGGCTGGAAGTGACCTTCCATGACTCAGTTCCATGGGTTTGTTTGCAAGAACACAGACACGCGAGTGGCCGCTGACAATATGTGTTCCGACATCATATACAGGGCATATTTTGCTCAGAAACATGCCCTGTTAGTTGTTGAAACCTTTTTTGCATTCCCTGAAACAAATGACACTATGGTCTATTTTCTTTTGGGGGGCAGTAAATAAAAGTCTTTTATGTTGACAATGATAATATTATATTCCACAATGTATTTGCATTTCTGTATTCTGTGGATTTTATTGCACGGTATAAATCTCCAGGCTGAGGTGCATTAAGCTCCACTCCGGGAGAAACAGTGTGTTTTATCATAGGGCCGGACAGCGGCCTGCACGAGATGCTACCTGCAGGGATTGGTCTTTGCCCAGATGTGCAGGGGAGATGCACAGAGGGGAAGAAACACACGTGTGTGCAGGTTTTGGCATGTGTACACGAAGCCTGGAAGGATTTTTTTCTGGATCCACAATCGACACGGATTTCCAAGCAGGAGCTGGCCTGAGCACACACCACTTCCCTGGGCTACATATGGCCCCAACCGTGCCGGCCAGGTTTTCAGGAAAGTGGTCCGAGCCTGCTTCAGCTCAGCCGGAGCTCTTTGGCCCGTGTGATGGGAAGACAACCGGATTGAGGACGGAAAAGCATCTCAGAGGCTTCTAGAAGAGTCGAGTCTCTTACCACCTTCCTGTGGGTTTTTTCAATGTTCTGAGAGTAGGAGCGTCTTTTTCCAACAGGCAAGTCAGGAGCCGCTGAGAAAACCACGACACAGGCTTGAGCCAGGGTTGGTATTACAACCCCCGACCGTCCACTGAGTGCCTGCCGTGGTGCCATGCACTGAGCTAAGCACTATCTCACTTAATCCTCACAGCAATCCTATATGAGGTAGGTGCTGCTGTTATCCTCATTCTACAGATGGGGAAACTGAGGCCCAAAGTTCCAAACCTGTAACTTGCAGAATAGAAGTTCAACTCCTGGGCAGTCTGGCTGTAGTTATTCATGGCAGGAGAAAATATGCTGTTTGCCTTGGAAAACCAACAATGGCTGTCACAAAACCTCTCCCATGCCTTGACCTAGCAGGAATAAAAGAACTAGTATAAAGAAAGAATAAGTAACTAGTGGTTGTAATGGGATAATGATGTCTGTTATGTTGTTTGGCATCTGTTAGTTTCTATAACACCTTTCTATTTCAATCAAGTTTATCATTTTTTTCTTATCTTCTAGCGAAGTTCCCTAGGTATAGAAAGTGGGCGAAGATATTGGGCAAGTGCATCTAAGAGTCTTTGGCCCAACTGAGGGGTTTGGTAGTAACTTCACCCCCAAATCCCTGGGTAAAGAGCAGGGAGACCCTGCTTCTACTCTGTTCGGAACAATGCCCACACATGGTGGTTTCTGTCTCAATAAACTGGTTAGGCTCACCAAATGGTCTTCTACATATCCAACTTTTAACGGAAAAGTTCTGTGGCCTTGGATTATTAAAGTCATAAAGTGCTTATTTAATTGTGTTTCAAGTCCATTTATCTCTTTTGAGTCTAAGAAAGATTCCTTCGGTCAGACGGGGTAGATGGACAGGAATTAATACATGATTTCTTTCCCCTTTATTTTCTTTTTCCTTTTAATGTAGCCTGAGACTTAACTGAGTGCCTGTTTTCAAATTGAGCTTTTAAGTGTAGCATTTGTGAGTGAAATCGCCCCTTTTTATTTTCAAGGTAATTGAATCCCATTTTCCCCTTTCCATTTCCCTCTAGAAAAATCAAAATGTTTTTAGAACTTAGCTTCTTAGCCGGTGATGTTCTAAGGTGGGAACTTCAGGATCATAAAACATGCTGGTGTGGCGACGACACTCAGGACAGGGGGTTCAGGCCTCTCCTCTTGGATGAACAGCCTCGGGGAACGTAGTGATTTCACTGTGTTTTCACTGGAAACACTGCAGGAATGTCTGTCCACACCTTGTCCTTGGCTCAGGGCTGGGGGTCAGGGGAGCTGGATTTTTGTCCCGAGCCTTGTCACCAGCTGAGGGCTGGTATTACTCAGAGGCGAAAGAGCCTGGAACCCTGAGCTAAATTGCCTTAAGTCAGTGTTTCTGAAAGTCTTGGACAAATGAGAATTGAATTTAGGTGGCATTTGGATGGGACTTCAAATGACTTTGAATTCACACAGTGACATAATGATTATCTTTCCAACCCTCTTTCACTCTTTCCGATCATATTAGGCACAAAGTCTCCATTTGGCGCTCTTGTGTCTTTAACTTTCTTCTCATCTCTGTTTTTTAAGGACAAATAGATTGGGCCTTGGTCTTGGGCCTTTAGAAGGTAATGGTTTCTGATTTGGATTTAATAATGTTGTTTTATTTCCTTTTTAAAATTTGTATGATAACCTTTGCTTTATAGCAGTTTTAAAGGTTAGGATAAAAAAAAATTCATTTCAGAACAAATTGGTTTAAGATGTTTTTTTAGTATTAGGTCAATGATAGTATTTGTGAATGTGCATGTGACAAAACTCACCTTCACAGCACATGGGCCACTCAAGGTGGGGAAGCAGTGGCTTAGGCGGTCAGGCAGGACGTTGAAGAAGGTTGGTTTCTTCCAAACCCAGGGATGACCGCGGCTTACTGGAAGGCTGTGTTGTAACAGAGGGGGCTTGGGCGTTGGGATCTGAGCTTGGTTTCTGACCTTCCCGCTGCTCTCATGTGCCGTGTGCTTTGGCCTCCTTGAGCTTCAGTTTCCTTATCTGTAAGGTGGGTCTCACGAGCGGGCGGAGGAAAGGAGGTTGGCATGGCAACCACACTGCCCACTCTGCCTTGTACCCCAGAGATGCAGGGTCCACACTCTGTTTTCTGCTTGCCAGGGCTCTGAGTTTGCATTTGGGCGGGAGGAGAAGGTGGAATACACAGTTCACCGCCCCGGCAGCCTGGTGGAGGAGAAGTGCACTCCGGAGGCCAGAAAATCGAACAAGCCCATCTGGCTGCAGTGGCCCGGCAGCTTGAAGCCCACGTTCACGTGTGAGTGTTGTGCCTGGGCAGCCGTTCCTCTTCTCAGGCTGCACATCGTTGGCAATAGGAGGCAAGCTCAGAATTAAGCTTAATTAAAATTCCCTCTTAATTAGGGCCATTACTTAAAATCAACTTTACATAATATAGCTGTGTAATCACAATTAAGCCCCAGAAATGGGATTAGGAAACACAGAATGTGAAAGCCAAACACGATGGGCCCCGTGCTGGTGGGGGCAGCAACAGAGACTTCTCGAATTAGCAGAATTTTTGAATAGCCAAGGCACGATGAGTGCGCTGATGAGAACCTCGGTGACCATCAGCACAGTGAGCTAATCAGAGAAAGGATTTGGGGAGGAATGGAAGCCGAGAGGCAGAGCCGGGGCGGAGGGCTGGGGGGTTAAGGGCATGAGGCTGGGGCAGCGGGAATCTGGGTCCAGACAGTTTCCTCTCCGGGCGCAGTTTCCCCAGCTGTGAAATCAGGGTGGAGGACAGCTGTTTCCCAAACAAGGATGTCTCTGATGACTCTCTCCACGCTCAGAATCCCTGATGTCACACTGTCCTGGGGGGTTTCACGGCAGCACAGTCTGGGTTGGTGCCATCTGCCTGCAGCACTGGCATGTGGAGTTTACTTTTGTCACTGTTGGCATCATCGTTGTGCTGATTATTTTTTGACTCAAGAAGGGAGAGTGGCGAAGTGATATTGACAACCTCCTGCTTTTACATTGCTAATTATGTAAAGATTGGGAGCTGGATTTGGAAGGAGACAATCAGTTTTGAACTCTGGATGTGCCTAGGGCAATATTTACTTCCCTTTTCAGTGTCTTCAAATGTAATGTGAGAATTACAATAATAATGATGCTTCAAAGGTTGCTCAGAGAATTTTACATATAAAGCATTTATAGCACGGTGCCTGGCAAATAACAACTCATTTTATACTGTTTTGCTATATTTCTATTGTTCGTTATATTTATATTTTGATCTTACTCTGTATCATGCACTGTTCTGTTTTATTTATATGTATGAGCTAATTTTATTTTCACGATCACCCGATGAATAAGTATTATTATTTTCACAGATTTCTAGATAAAGAGTCTGTGGGTCAGAGAGGTCAAGTAATTTGCCTAAGGTTACACAGCAAGTAAGAGGCAAATAACAAGAGCGACATGGAGGGCAGCTGTTATTACAAAGGTACTATCTGTCTGTCTATCTGTTTGGTCCATTGGTCAGGGTAGGCCACAGTTAGCCCCAAGGGAGGTCACTTCCAGGCCCCAGGGATGTGGTTCTATGTTGCCAGAGTAAGGCTGAGCATTTGAGTTCAGAGTGAAAGGGGCTGGGGGTGCTGATTCCAGAGCTGTAGAATCAGAGGGGGAAGAGAAACCCAAAGAGGGTGACTTCTCCTATCTTTTTCTTAATTGATTATTTTATTTTATTTATTTAATTTTTTTGGAGCTGGGGCCTTGCTATGTTGCCCAGGCTAGACTTGAACTCCTGGCCACAAGTGATCCTCCTATCTCAGCCTCCTGAGTAGCAGGGACTGCAGGTGCATGCCACCTCACTGGCTCCATTTCTGTTTATTGATTTATTGTTTTAGTTCAGAGGATGCCTCATACCTCCTGTGACATATATCTGAGGGCCAGCTGTGTGCCTAGCACTGAGTTGGGCTCTGCACATACATATTCTCCTTTAGTTTTTAACCAAAGCCCCCCTAAGTCAGGAATTGTCACTCCCGTTTTGCAGATGAGGAAACTGAGGCTCAGAGAAAACAAAGCTGTTGGCTCATTGGCCAAAGTGAAATACATCCTTTGACCCCTAATTGGGTTTTCGATTTATTCATCAAACACTATACTATCCCCGAGATGTTTGTCCAAAGGTTCGATGTGTCCACAAGGCGGTGGCCTCCGGACACTAGCCTCCATATACGGCCAAGTCATGGCTTCAGCAGGGCGGGACCGTCAGACAGCTCCGCGCATGCTCAATTCCCTCAGTGTATTCATTGTGCTTACATGCCTCCTGTGATGAGGACATCACTACCTGTCTACTAAGTTAAATTTTCACTTTTGGATGACAGAGTAGAGCTGGAGAGAAATTTGTCCTGGGCTTGCTATTCACGGAAGACCTTCCAATTCAGACTTGTGATACCATCTCTAGTGAGGATCTTCCAATTCAGACTTGTGATACCATCTCTAGTGAGGATCTTCCAATTCAGACTTTTGATATCATCTCTAGTGAGGATCTTCCCAATTCGACTTGTGGCATTCGAGTCTCGGTAAATAGTGAATGATGCCACAGTCAGTGTGTTCCGGTGAGTATATGTTGAAAGTGTTAATCTGGTAAATGCTTTAATTATATCACAGTTTTGCAAATCTGTGTTAGCATTTCCTCATTTGTTCATATAGCAAGAATCTTAATTGGAAAAAGAAAAGCAGGGCCATGGCTGTCTTGTGCATGCCTAGGTAGCCCTGAGAGTTCAGCAAGACATTCTGGTCTGGGCTCTGAATCTGTACATCTGTGACATTTCTGCTCCCCTGGGAGGGTCCGGAGAGCACTGGGTCTCGGGGCGGGGGAGGTGGTTCTTATGCCTCTGCCATCCCTGACTTGGCGGCGGCCTGGGAACTGGAGGAAGGTCTTGCTCCGATAAGGAAAGGTACAAGGTCACCGCCCAGTACCAACATGACACAGCCACAGCCCTGCTGTTTTGGAAAAGAGGGTAAAGGGTGGGGGTGAGGGGGCTAGTGGCCCACCCAGGTTTCCTAGGACCCCAGAGCCCCTTCTCTGCAACTGAACGGTGGCCACCTCCCTGGGCCTGCACTGGGCACCCTCCTGCACAACTCCAGGGGACACTATTCACGTGGCATTTCATGTCAATGTTGCCCCATGAGGTTGTGCTACACAGAAGCCCAAACCCCAAGCCCAGAGAGCATCCCCAGAGAAAGCTGACGCCCCACGAGGGGGCTGAACCCCACATGGCAAACCGTGGGCTTACAGGGTGCCCACAGACACCGGCTCCCGACCCGTGGAGGCTCTGTCCCTCTCCCAGCGTGACCTCTTTGTCCTTCAGCCTGAGAGCATTTGCCTCTATTTACACTAAATAGAGCCGGCTCCACTTGCTGGTGCCTGTATTTTGGGCACGCCAAGCCAGAGGCCCCCGAAGCCAGTTGGAGCAGGCGGCCACTGTCCTGGTGGTGGTCACATGAAAAGCCCTGCTGGCCGGCTCCGCTGACACAGTTTAGCAAACACCTTATCTCCCGCAAAGCAGGTGAGGTAATGTTTATGAAAGCTCACTCTGTCCCCGGCCACCAGGCGGTGGGGGTGCCCACGCGCCCAGACAGTGCCGCGGTGGCCCCCTCACCCACTGTGCTTCCCTCTGGCCTCGTCTGCCGCCCCCACTCCGGGGCAAAGCCACGCCGGTGTCCTTCCTCACCGCCGGCCTCTCTGTCGACCCCTCCATCGGCTCCATGTCTCCACTTTTTAAGGCACATGCACGGCTCCCTTAGGAGATATTATGGGCCTCATTTGACATAGGAGGAAACTGAGGCAGAGAGCAGAAGGCATCTTGGCCAAAATTACAAAGTGGCTGAGCTGATGACTCAGGGTCCTACCTCCTGCAGTCCCCTCTGAACTGGTGTATTTGTAGTACCATTCATTAAAGATTCCTGATTTCTATATGGATGGATAGTGGATGGATGGAGGGATAAATAGCTAACTATATAGACAAAGAGGAAAAAGTGTAGCTGGACAAGTGAACAGGTGGATAAATAAAGATGATTGCATAGGTGGATCGATACAGAGGTAATTATATAGACAATTCTGGAAGAATATACAAAAAACTGTGGACAATAGTTACCTCTGGGAAGAACATGAGAAATCCAGTGTATGGGGGGGAGAGCCCACTTTTTGTTGGTTGTTTCTATTTTGCTCCCTCTGAACTGTTGGGAGTGTTTTCCATATGCACAAATTAGTTTTTTAAAAATGTCTTTTTCTGGTTTGTTTGACCTGTATTCCTGTGTGTCTGTCTGCAGGAGAGATGAGAAGCCAAAACTCTAGAAAAGTTGCAGGAGCTTCTTAGGAGACCCTTCCTTGCCAGAAACCTACTCCTCCAACTGAACCCGGCCCATCGATGCTCTCAGGGTGACAGGTGGCTCAGAGGTGTGCCGAAAAGTGGAAGGTGGATGGCGCTCGGAGTTTGGATTCTGAGAGCCACATGGGGGCCACCCCCAGTGACTGACCCCTGGGTAATGACCAGAGAACCCCTTAGCAGCAGCGACAGCAGAGACGTCTGTTTCACTGGTATTTATAAATGTAACTAATTGGAAACCACCAACACGCCCAGCAACTTGGGACTGCTTAAATGACTTGTGGTTCAGCCACACAAGGGAATATCGTGGAGTCATTAAGAATAAATAAAAAATCCTATCCTTTTCTTATACCTCTGCAATTAGGGTTCCTCAGAATGGAATGTGAAGAAGTCAAGTCAAAATGTGCCAAAATGTTAACAACAATTAACTCTTGGTTGTGATTTTCTGAGTAACTTATATTACTTTTCAGTTTTGTTTTTTTTTTTATTTCTAATGAAGAGATGTCCTATTTTTATTGCAAAAAATAAACATTTTTAAAGAATAGTCTCTTATAACAGAAATCTCTACATAGGGAGATTGGAAAGAAATCAGGGCAAATAATACTTTTGGGTGGTAGGATCATACATTATTTTTTTTTCTTCTTATATTCATAGTTTCTGAATTCTCTGCATTTGTTGTGTTTGCTTTTATAATAGGCCACTCATGATTTTTAGAAACCGAGTGGATAGGGAAGGAGAGGTCTGCGGTTGAAAAGCCAAAGGCTAAGCCCATTCATGGCAATCCGTTGATATATTTCATGAGCCTCTAAAATGAGCAAGTCACGTCGCACTGGGCTGGGGGCTCTAGTGGGAAACACAGAGGTGGAGGAAATGCAAGCACTTTAATCAAAGAATCCCAGTCCAGCTGGGGAGACACGGGTCCTCACTGTAGTGGCTGCAAGGTCTTATCCTAGAAGTCAGTCTGTCGAGAGCAATAGTAGCAACAACACAACAGCATGGCAGAGTGGCTGGGAGCTCCAGCACCAAGGCCACCCCACCTGGGGAGAAACTCACCCCCATTTCTTAACCATAGCAGGTCTGAGCCTCAGTTTCCCCTTCTGCAAATGTAAATGACCTCCTGGCATCGCTGTGAGGATTAGACGGAGCCTGTGAATAAAGGCTGAGCAAGGTGCTTTGCAAATGGTCCATCTGCAGCGTGAGTCTCATTGTCATCACTATGGCCTCGGTGCTGGTGGCCAGCTCTTCCTGAGTCATGCTTCCAGATGTAGCAGAGCTGAAAGTTGAACTCACATTTATTTAATTCCAAAGACAATGATTCTACCGCAAGCAAATGCTGCATTTAATCTGTATGCTTAACTGGAATTTGTTTGAAACCTCACCCTATAGTCTTTCCAGAAAGAAAACTCAAATTTTCATTAAAAGGTCAAAGGAGAAATGAATCTGTTTCAAAGAACACGAGAGGAAGACAGAAGTGTCCCTTCCTGCAGGATTTTGCAGTGTGTGTGTCTCTTGCCACATACAGGAGATCCCTTCTGCAGCCCGTGACGATGACACGGCAGCACTTGGCTTGTGCCCCACCGTGAATGGGACTGGATTTGCCTCCGAACCAGAGGGTGCTGGCTTGCTCTGGCCGGAGGGCAGGAGGTCATGAACAGGGAAAGGGCCCTGTGTTGGGACAAGCCCTGAGGACCTCAGGAACCAAAGCCAAGAGGTGGGAGCCAACTGCCCACAGGTTAGGGTTGGCAGTCTGGGGAAAACTGAGTCGAAAGCAGTGGAGGTCCAAAAGCAGAGAGAAAATTCTTTTTATGGACCTTCACATCATTCAGAAATGTTCCCTCCTCAAATATCAATGGTTCTTCCCTGTCGTCTGGTCGTCTGTCTCTTTAAGGGATCCACCTAAACTCAGCTATAACTCATGCCATCCCACCCTGTCCTGCCGCAGCTGCAGGCTGCAGTTTGGCATGAGAATACGCACGTGCCTGCATTCTTGGTGGGCTGCAGCGTCCAGCTCACAGCAACGAGTAGGGAAGACTTGGGGCAGGAGGGATACGCAGGCGGGATGGCCACAGAGGGTCTTGACCGAGGACCCAGTATGAGGGCAGGGGCAAGGGGGAGTGCCAGGGTCTGATCTGTCCCCTGAAAGTGGGTTCCCCGTGTGCTCAGGAGCTGGGCCATGGGGCCAGTATGGAGGCGTGCTCTCCTCCGTATCCCATCTTCAGTTTGGGGAGAAGAATTAAATTAGTCTGAACTTATCATTTGTCGGATCCCTTTGGAAAAGCAGATATCTGGATCCTAAGAAAATCCATCCATTCATTCATTCATTCCCTCACTCAGAGCAGTTCTTGTGCATCGTTTCATATTGAGTGCTCTAGAATGTACCTTTGGGGGGCTACACAGGTTCGTAAGACTTTGATATCTAATATCAAGAACCTTCCAACCAGAAAGAGGGAGAGGTGAGTACTAACTCCACTCCACGGTGTCGACCCACTAACCTTACAGGTCTTGTCCCTTCTACCACCTCTCAAAACACTTCAGGGGACTTCTGTTTCTCTCAGGAAAAATGCAAACTCTTATCTGGGCCTGAGAATCTCCGTATAGAGTTCCCCCACTCTCCCCCACTCCCCGCTCCTCCTTCCATGCCTCCTCATTGGCCTTCTTTCAGTGGTCCTTCCCAGATCCCCTTCAACCACAGGCCCTTGGCACGTGCTGCCGCTCAGCCCAGCTCATCCCCCCTGATGCAAGCCTACTTATTGTTTGTTCTAAGCTCAGATTAATGTCACTTCCTCAGGAAGGCTTTCTCTGTCAACAAGAATTGGCCAGATCCTAATTATACACTCTCATACTCCACGCAATAACCTTCATAGTTGTTATCCCAGTTATAATTATTTTTCATTTATTTACAGGATGGTTATATTGATGATTCTATTTTTCACCAGACTGAAAGCTCCATGAGAACAAGGACTGTATCTTTTTTTTTTAAACTAGCTATATTGTGCTATAATTTATATATAATAAACACACCCATGTTAGGTGTACCTTTCAATGACAAATTTATATGAAATTCTACATGCTTGTGTAACCACCACCACCATCACATTTTCATCACCCCAAAAAGTTCGCTGTGCCTCACTCTAGTCAGTCTGTCCCCCCTCTCGGGCAGCCA